TCGGGGACGTCCTGGAGATGCAGGAGGTGCAGGAGCCACAGGGTCCAAGCAGGTGCTTACATGGATCTGGCTGTCCACAGGCCTTGGCAGAGCATGAGGACGAGCTCCCAGAGCACTTCAAGCCTTCGCAGCTCATCAAAGACCTGGCCAGAGAGATCCGGCTCAGCGAGGTAGGCTGTGATGGGTGCCGGCTGGATGAGGGAGGCCTGCCTGTGCTTCTCAGGACCTGGGGGCCAGCCTGGCCAGAGCTACTGATGTGGGAAGGCCCATGTCCCTGATGGCCCTCCTGTACTCTCCTGGGTAGGCTTGTCTACGTGAGGCACAGAGTCCTAGGTCTCTGGGTGGGCTGCAGTATTCTCGTGTGAGTGTGTTGGGAATGAGAGATGGCACGGACCTCTGCAGCTCCCACAGAGGGGGGCATTCTGGGGGAGGAGCCCCCTCGACCTAGCCCTTTGGATCCCAGCTCATGTGAACCCGGAGGAGCCCCCCAGTCCCTGTGCTCAGGATAGGACAGAGGAACCCTAGGGACATAAGGGATCAAGTGGCTAATGGTATGGACAGGTGTGAGTGACTGGCTGTAGGTGTGTCACATAATGGTAGGGGGTAGGTGTGAGCATGTTATATGATGGTGGGGGCGCAGGTGTGAGTGTGTCACACAATTGTGTAGGGAGGTGTAAACATGTCACACAATGGTGTGAGTGGGTGTGAGTGTATCACTCGGTGGGGGCAGGTGTGAGTGTAAGCCTGCCACACAGCAGTGTGAGTGGGTGTGTCGCATGATGAGGGTGGTCGTGAGCATGTCACATGATGATGGGGCAGGTGTGTGTCACATGATAGTGTGGGCAGGTATGAGCATGCCACACAATGGTGGGAGTAGGTGTGAACATGTCATATGATGGTGTGAGTGGGTGTGAACATGTTACTTGATGGGAGGAGTGGGTGTGAGTAGGTGTGTCACATGGGGGTGGGTGTGAACATGTCACCTGATAGTGGGAGCAGAGGTGAGTGGGTGTGATCCTGTCACACAATGGTGGGGGCTGGTGTGAGCATGTCACTCAATGGTGGGAGCAGATATGAGTGGGTGTGAGTGTAGCACACAATGGTGGGGATAGATGTGAGCCTGTTACATGATACGGGTGGGTGTGAGCATGTCAATGGTAGGAGTGGGTGTGAGCATGGCACACAATGATGGAGGTCGGTGTGAGTGTATCACACAGTGGTATGGCCAGGTATAAACATGTCACATGATGGGGATCTGAGAGTGTCATGATGGTGGAGGTGGGTGTGAGTCTATTACATGATGGTGATGGTGGGGGTCGGTGAGGGCATGTCACTTGATGGTAGGGGCAGGTGTGTGTGGGTGTGAACATGGCACATGATGGTGTGGGCCTGTGGGAGGGCTGAGCCCCTCTGGATATCCAGAGTCCTGGCGTGTGGACTCTCTGGGCCCCAGCTTGGCAGCAGTGGCATGTGACCTTCTCCTCTCCGTACCCAGAATGCCTCCAAAGCCATCCGACCGGAAGTGAATGCCATCGCCTCCTCAGAGGAAGTCTGTGACGGGGACCGGGAGAAGGAGGAACCCCCCTCTCCCATTGAGGCCACTCTGCCACGATCCCTCCTGGAGAAAGTGTCCAAAAAAAAGACTCCCAAAACTGTGAAGTTGCCCAAGCCGTCCAAAATCCCCAAGCCCCCAAAGCCTCCCAAGTCCCCAAAGCCCCCCAAAGCCCTGAAGCTCAAGGATGGGGGCAAGAAGAAAGGGAAGAAGCCCCGGGAGTCAGCCTCACCCACCATCCCTAACCTGGACCTGCTGGAGGCCCACACCAAGGAGGCGCTGACCAAGATGGAGCCTCCCAAGAAGGGCAAGGTGGGCTCCTCCTTCCACTCTTGGCCTCACATCTCACCTGGGCCTCACATCTCACTTGTCCTCATTCTTTGGGCTCCTGGCTGGATGGGGAGGTAGGGACATCACAGGCAGCCCTCTGCAGTGTCCAGCAGGACGAGGCCACTGGGAGGGTATAGGGTCTGGGCCTTACAGGGAGTCCAGTCTACCTGGTGGTGGCACTTCCCTGCCTGCTCCCAAAACAGGCCTGCCATGGCTAGGCTAGATCAGGGGTAGATGGGCTCAGCCTCATGAGCCATGAAGTGGCAGGCCTAGGAAAGGCCCTCATAGGGAACGGCAGTGCAGTGTGTTTGTGCTGTGGCAGGGACGGCACCCAGGAAGGGGGCCAGCTGGTGGAGGGGACAGGTTTGTCTTCCCAGCCAGGAGTTACCTAGCTTAGTCTTCCCAGCCAGGGAGGAAGTTGCCAGGAACAAAGAAGCCATCCCTGGAGTCAAGGTGTGAGGCTAAGATCTGAAGGTAGGTAAGGCGCCTGTGCAAGAATTGTAGGGGGAATGCCAGTGGAGAGGAGGGACCTGGGGAGGGGGCAGGGGCAAGGTTGCCCTGGCTGTTTGAGCCTCTGTGGATGATGAGAGATGGACCCAGCCCTGAGGATCCACTCTGACTAGAGGGGCTTCAGAGACCATGGGCCCTGAGATCAAGCATTACTGAGTGTGAACTCCTGCTAAGAAGAGTTTGTTATCCACTCACTGAGGGCTGGACCTCCCTAGGGCCAGAGTCACACAGCTGCTTGCTTTCCCAGGACAAGCATTAATAAGTGTATGAATGAATGAACAAATAAATGGATGGCTGAATGCCTGGATGGGTGAATGGATGATGAACGAATGGATAGATAGATGAATTAATAGGTGGAAGGATGAATGGACAGACAGAAGGAGAAATTAACAAATAGGTTAACAAATGGATGGATGAATGAACAGATGAATAAATGGGTGAACAAATGAATGATTGAGTGGATTGATGGATGGATAGATGGATGAATGGATGGAAGGATGGATGGATGAATAGAGGAATGGATGGATGGATGGACGGACAAATGGATGCATGGATGGATGAAGGAATAGGTGGACAAATGTATAGATAAACAAGTGGACGGATGAATTAACAAATGGACAGATGAATGGATGAATGAGTGGATGGATGGATGGATGGATGGGTAGGTAGATGGATTAACGGATGAACTGATGGATGGATTAATGGATGGAAGGACGGACGGACAGATGAACATATGGACAGATGAGCTGCGTGCACATAGGAGACAGGGGACCTGTATGGCTTCAGGAATTCCCTCCGGCTCTCTGTGTCTGTTTCTGGGTCATGATGGCTCTGCTTTCTAGGCTACAAAGAGTGTCCTGAGTGTCCCCAACAAAGATGTGGTCCACACACAGAACGATGTGGAGAGGCTGGAAATTCGAGAACAAACTAAGAGCAAGTCGGAGGCCAAGTGGAAGTATAAGGTGAGATGTGCATATGTGCATGAGTCAGTTCTATAAGTGTGAGCAGAGATGTGAATATATGAGACCGTATGTGTGTGTGTGTGTGTGTGTGTACACGCATGCGCATGTATGTCCCTGTGCAGGCATATA